AAACTTTCAACTATCAATAAATTAACGGTGGCCAACTGTTTTGATAAGAACCAGCGTCAAACAGATATCGCCATTCACCACCTTCCTCGATGGGCACCAGCTCCATTTGATTTAATACTCTTTTATAATCTTTCAAAATTTATTGCATTCCGCCATACTTTTACTGTAAATCTACAGGTCTTTTCTGGAACATTTTAATTGTTCGATCAGTATTTGAAGGTTGACCATAGTTTCAGGTTTCATGCAGAAGAGAGACCCATCCTATCTCCAAAGCCAGCGCCAAAGCCTGTGCAATCGCACCGAATGGCAGAATTTAGGGGCAGTATTTTTTTAGAGATGCACGGTGTAATAAAATTTCAGGGTGAAAAAGTTTTTAGAATTAAGGCGCTACTTAAATGGCAGAATTTAGCAGCAGCAAAATTTTTAGAATTTAGGAAAGCAGCTGGCAGCAGAACATAGGACCCGCAGAGATTGCACCGGGTGATAAAATGCCTACTGTTGTATCTGGTTATCTCCTCGAAATGTATGAATTTTTTTCATAAAACCAGTGTTAGTCTGAAGTTTGAATTTTGCCTAATTTTAAATACGATTAGAATCTATATAAATAATTCGATTAATTAAGACTAATTCGATTTTCAAAGGAAATTGCGTTTAATCGTAACTCCTACTCAAAGTATGTTTCATTACAAACGTGTTAACTGATTCAATGAAGAAAATGCAAAACTAATCAGGTGCCTCCCTTAATCTTTAATATTTTCCTCGTTTCTTCAATTGCCCTTATCAAGGATGTTGAGTGTTCCAAGAATATAGTTAGCGCTTACTCACACGTTAAGACAATAGTGCAGATTAGCCTTCATGACACAGGTTTTCAGCTAAATCGGTCTGAATTGACATCTGATAGCGTACGAGACCACCGCCCACGGTGTACGGGTTGGGTTCAAGGTCAACAATTTTAACCTGGATGAGACCGGTTTTCAATTGCCCCTTTAATCGAAATCCAATTCCTTCCACTTCAAGGTCAGTTGCTGATGCGAAAGGGGTTTAATTGCCTGCTCATGCGACTCGTTTAGTTCTATTGGCAACTCATTCGTAGGCGCGCGTATAGTCGTGGGGGGAAATGATGAGAGTTGTCACTACTGGAAGAAACTGAAGGTAATTAAACTTGCGTAGGTTTATGTCACGAGATTCATACTTAACTAGCGCACAAATCAATAAATAGGAAAAACGTTCTCAAGCAGAGATTATTATTGAGGTGTACTACTTTACTCTCTTTCTAAATTTAGCATTTAAATTGAGAATTTCTTTAGAAAGATGTTCAAGAATCAAATGTGTCGCACAAGTGCGAAAGTTTTATATTACTTAACAATAATCGGAAACAAGAAAGAGTTTCTGACCTATGATATGCCTGTTACATATTTATTATAAAGATGATGAGATTCCAGGCCTTAGGTTAAGTATTTTGTAAAGAGTAGTCTGAGGCTGAAGTGTGAGCTCAAGAACTTTTATTGAATTCATGAAGCCAGCTTTGAGTACTTAGGAATGAAAGTCGAAAACTCGATTCGACGACGTGACCTTGGTGACATTAGCGTTTCTGTATTTTATTCAGTTACATCATACGGAAATAATTACAGAATAGATCAAATTTAAAAATAGCTTTTCATTTTGTATATTCTAAATTGTTAATTCTAATTTAAATTTATAGAAAATGCATCATAGATCAAGCTCAGATTGTTGTTAAATTTTGCAGTCCCTAGATGAAGGGTATATACTGCATCAATGCTCCAAAAACATACAGTGAAAGACTACATTTTTTTCGAAGATTTTCAGTTTCTAGAAGCATCATAACTTATTTCTGGAGGGGGGAACTGCCACAAATGACTAAAAATTTTTTTTGCAATAAAATCAACACAGTTTCCGCTCCATCTCAATTTTTAAGCTTTTTTTTTTTTTTCCACTTCGACTGTAGAGAAAAAAAAATGCTGTTTCTCTCTTCGCGGATTTCAATATAATCACGTACCTATTGAAAGTATTAAATTAATTTATGAAGCTTTTATTTCCTTCTGTTTTCTGTTTCTTTCAAGTTTTCAATGACTGTTTTTTCTCATTTCACTACTGGCAAAGTGAATAGCATTATTCACTGTTTTCTGATTATGAGTAAAACTAATAAGTACAATTTTTTTAATTTTGTATTCAAACAAATAAATGTAAACTAAAATTATTTTCAAACAAAACCTGTCGCTCTTAAAATAATTTATTCCAAAGCATACGACTTCCCTTTCTTTTTCGGACGCAATAAAAGTAAGCTCCTTGATTCCTAATTCTTCTGCATCTGGAAATTTTGTTTACAGTGAAAAAAAATCTTAATATTCCAATTTAATAATTTCTACTTTTTAGAGAAAGAAATGAATTTCATTGTTCATAAATTCGCGTAAAATGCAAGATTGTCATTATACTTTCTTTTGATGTTAATTTTCGTAGGAGACAAAACGTTCGTCTCGTTTGTAAAGAAGGGGCGTAAACTGAATTAAAGCGAAGGGTTCAAAGCTTCCTGTTTCCATTATTATCAGCTGCCCAACCATAGCATGAAGAATGGGTAATTGATTAAAAGAATGCACGCAATGGCTGTCTCACATTTAAAACTATTTTCGGTTGAACTTAATGTCTCCTAAATTAGAATAAAATCCCTCGCAAACTGATGGTATTTGCTTGAGTTCTCGAAAAAAGTCCTTAATTTAGAATTCCCTCCCTCCTTCCGTAAAAGTGAATCATTATCATATGTTAATTTACGATGAATTATAAAAAGAAGAAGGCGTTCTCTTGTTAGATTAAACATAATTAATTGTTAAACTATTCATGTTTGACCTTCCTGTTCTTCCGATGAATGACCGTCTTCGCATTTACGTCTCAAACTTCAAAAGCACAAACATGAAGTAAGACCGAGATAAAATGTTTTTGACTTATTACTGAAATCTAACAAAATGTATTCCAGAACTACTTTCGGAATCTTGGAAATAAAATAATTAAATATTATTACAAATTTTGTATACATCCAAATAATTTTAGTGAAATTATTTTAGAATTGTGGTATCTCTTTTATAATGTAACATGAAAGGGATCAGAAGACAAAGCATCTCCGAAAGCGCAAAACATCGCATTCCATTTAACAGTCCGCAAGTCCATTTAACATTGTCCATATAATATAATTGTCCATATATCTATATAAGTCCATTTAACATTGAGGTAAATGGCTAACTAGCCAAACTGACAAGAAGCGCCAAGCTCGCGATAATTTTAACGACAACTAATTTTTGTCACCAAAAGATGCCAAGCTTGGCAACCATTTGGCGACATTTTGGTTCGACCCCTCCGTAACTGTAACTGGTCCGATTCCTAACTAACGGTAACTATGCCTTTCAGCAATTTCGAGAAATTGCAGGTATTGAAATTTTTCGGCGGACGGGGGAAAACTAAATCTGAGAGAGCGTCAGTTTTCAGTTTAGTACAGAGTATTAAGCAATCAGAGATTGATTTCGATTTATTGAGGAATCACAGTGCGAGCTTCCGCTTTTTAATACGTATTGCATTGTTTTGTGTTCAACATTCATAGTAGTTTCAAGTGGTAACTACTAATTGTGCTGTGGCATGCTAAGAAAAGCTGTATGAGTATTCTTGTGGGAAAAGTTACTTTAAAGTATTTCTAAAAAAATAAATTTCATTTATGTATGCATTCAATCCATTAAGACAATAGGTAATAATAGGTTTAACCCAACAAAAAACTTCAGTCCCTAATCAACCCGGCTCCAACTTCCTCTTCTACTTTCTAACAAATTCAAATTATCTCTTATCAAACTTAGTTCGGAATACAGATAAACGACCCAGGAAATAAACTGCTTTCTGACGTGTTTGGTACAGCTCTCTTTCTTTCTCTAAACTACAAATTTATTCTTTATCCAGACTCAGTTTAATTTGCTTTCATTTTAATGTTGATTACATACACAGTAAGAACTTCTTATTTTTTGTTTGGATGGTCTGTCTAGCCTTTCTGACTTAGCATGAGGTTACACAATTCGAACACACCAAGTTAATGTCCGCCAGGTTACCTCTTATTCTTCTTTACACTGAGTTGATAGATCTAATAAGTTAAACAATACAAAAACATTAAATTGACTTCAATTCATATCAGCGTTAGCACTTTCTATAAAAAATAGATAAAATTAAATGTCCAGAAATTCATTCTGAATTCTTAGAATGCTGATGTAAACTTTCAACTTTGAAGCGTATTGCTTATTACTGCAAATCGTAAAACTATTCTTTCTATTAAAACTGCATTTAAGTGCCTTATTATTATTATTTTAACAAATAAATTAGTTAAAAGTAAAGGATATGAGTTTCTTAAAAAGTCTGAATTATGTAATGTGAATTAGAGTGACATTTATAAAGTCAAAATATAAATTTACGATCTGGAAAGGTTATTCGATATTCAAAATCTGCTTAGAAATAACTCTATTCATTTATGAAAACAAGAGGTATGATCTGCAATGTACAAGATTTCTGTACCCCAGATCTTTTCGAGTTTTTTTTTTTCGGTCATGTGTATCTGCTTTGATTAAAAATTATTAAATAAACGGAAAGAAAAATAAGCAACACGAAAAACTTATTATTTTCGTACGTATAGAAGAAAATTTTATATGAATATGAACATAAAATCCTTTCAGTTTTTAAAATTGCAGCTGGAATTTTTCGCCTTTCTCATTACAACGTTTTTTAATTTGGAAGGGGAAAAATAAGACCTTGTTGTTTTCTCTCTTCCAAAGCGAATGTTATACAATCCGTCTTGATTAGGTATATTACAAAGAAAATCTAACGAATTCAAAAAATTGTTTCTTATGCATTGTTTGGACCGGTGAAAATCTGTACCACTATATATGTTTGTGTAAGCGAGTCAAAATTATACTACACTCTTTTTAAAACGTTTCTTTTCGTACTTTTTGTTCTTTTAGTCATCAAAGACCAGCAAGATCAGTAACACTGATGGTATCAACAGAAACTCAACCCTGGTAAACCAAGATGATCTGCAGCCACATCAAGGAAGATATAAGCCAAAGAAGCGTCGGCCTGCACCGCCTCCTCCACCACCATTGCCAGAAGCCCCCTCACATTCTCGACAGAGTTCATCAGATTCCAGCGGATATCACGAAGCTACCTCATCCTTCCTCCACGAAGAGCATTGCTTGACCGTTGCTGAAAAGGCTTCCAGCGACAGCAGCGGTGTCAGCAGTCTGGATGCAAAAGTCCCACCTATTCAGATGCCACAGGCCACCATCATTCCCAACTCCAAAAAGAGAAAAGCTCCAGCTCCTCCTCCTCCTCCTCACGTATCGGAAACGACACCGGTTGTCCAAAAGGAGCACGACTTGACGGGATATTTAGAAGCAGAAGATGAAAGTCAGCCAATTCAGAGTCAACCGACCGTGGTGGTGAAATCGGCAGAGTTGACAACAGACATTCCCAAAGGTAAAATTTTCTTTATAAATTATCAACATTTATTGTTATTATTATCTCTAATCCCAACGATGCGAATAGTGTGATTTTCTATTACTTCATCCACTATAAAACATTTTGCAACATACCTATTGGAAAAAGGGTTGGTTTGAACGCTTAGCAAGCATCGGACTACACATTTTGCAACATGTAAGTTAATTTCAATTATATGAATGCTGTAGCCTCGGTCTTTCCGAAATCTTCCCTTGAACCAGGTAAAATATTTGCTCATTCTCTGTTGGTTAGACAGCATAGAATGACAAGGCTGGCAGCTTTTCAATTAAGGTACGACGACCAGACTCAGAATTAACGTGAGATCAGTAACTAATTACGCTGATAATAAGGAAACTTACCTGGCTGACGGCAAGGGGTGACTTTAAAATAAACGTGAATAAATTTTTAACATGAAATAATAATATAACTAATTTATGAAGGCTGTAAATTTATTAAAATTCATTACTAAAGAATAAAATCTTCGTATTAGAATGACAGCTATAGGTAAAGCAGCAGATTCATTACTTGTCTGATACTGAAGGCACTGATACTTGTTTCGTGTCCTCGTTAATTCTAAAAATATAACCCACCATTTCTAGTGTAATCTTATAGCAAATTTCGCCCGCCGTACATTGATGGCAAAGTTTATTTCTTGTTTCAGAATTTGGTACCAGTTTGGCGAATTTTACGATAGAAAAAGAACAGTTACTTTTACTGTAAAAAAATGTCTGTACATACATAAGTATTGTAATTTTCAACTACATATTTATTAAAAAAAAATCAGTAAAGATAGTTAGAAATGGTTTTTTTTTTTTGTTTATTTTGTTTTGTTTTATTTTTATTGTGGGGAAATTTCGTAGCCATCGCTTTGAGAAGACTCGAAGCATTGTTCCTTGAGCTATTTGGGATCTAAATACTATATTCCTTCAAACATTTCAGCTTTATTTTTTCTGCATAGAAAAATCCCACAAACACAAATTTTAAATTTAAGACAAAAAACAATCAGAATTTTTCTAGAAAAGCCATTGGAACTTGGAATACAACAAAACCAAAGCATACCAAAATGGCGATGTTGGAAACCGAATATTTGTCATGCTAATGGTTGCCTAAACAATTGCTATACGCGTGGTTATCAGAATATAGCGTATTCTGAAACTTCGGCAATTTTTACTAAGGGAGTTACGATAGTACGTAAGTATCCAAACTTTTGTTCAAATTGCCTTATAGATATAAGCCAAAGAACGCAGAATATTATACGCAGAATCATTTAGTTGCACCCTGAATTAGGAATATATTCTTCGATCATCACGATCATATTATCATGATCAACATTCAAGCCTTTGTTTTATGACAATGTTTGAAAAAACAATAATTTAGATAATCAGCTCTAGATGGCATTGGTGTAAATAATGTTTTATTATACCGTTAATGTTTTCAGTATCTGAAATACTTGTTTTAGGGTTAATAATTGAAGAAGGCTAATTTAGTGTATAAACAAACCCTAATTTTTTTTGCACATTTTAACCTTTCACTTAGTTTTATAAAAATTAAAACATGATAAAGTATTTAAATTTTTATATAATTACCGAAAAGAAATCATAAGTTTAATTTTTTAAATGTTGATTGAAATAATAATTAATGAAAAGTTATTCTACTAAGATATACACCAATGAAATGTAAGATTAGTTCTAAATAAGAATAGATCACTAGAATTCTACTGATGATCATAAAAACATTTCTTCGTTATGTTATATTCAGCTAAAGCATGTTTCTGTTTCGGCATAGAATGCCATTTTCCGCAAGTTTCAGCTGGGATATGAAATTGTTCTAGTTATTAATGTACAACAATCTAAAATAAAATTAGCTAAAAAATGATCAAAATATTATGCATGCTGCTAAATATATTTCACTAATTACGCTATAGATTCATTAGATTATTTTGAAGCAGGAGACGTGAAAGAAGCAGGAAACGTGCAGTGGACTCGCCGGGGCTCCAACTATGGACCTTTTGAATACGCGTCGAGTATGCTTCCAATTATATCACGAAAGCATGCGGAAAAGAGGGAGAAAATACCTTATATGCTCCCTCTTTTAAAAGGCGACTGGGGATTAGGGGACCAAATCGCCAGATCCTGGTGGTGACGAATTACCTTCCACCACCTTCTAGATTGAGCGCCATTAGTTTATTTTGAAGCAGGAGACGTGAAATACGTGCAATGCCCTTGCCAAGACTCGAACCCTTGGCCTCTCGAATACGCGTGAAGTATGCTTTTAATTACACCACGAAAGCATGTGGAAAGGAGGGAGAAAATACCTATAATACAACTGAGCATTGTTTCTATCCACGAATTTACGAAAATTTAGTGAAATTTAAAGAAGTAATATTTTATCGCATTACGGAATATTAAGAAGAAATATAAGTTCATTGGCCTGATTAGTCAGGTAATTTTTATAGATGTTCATTTAATCTCACAGCAACTTTTATATTTGTTTTAACATTTTTATTTCCTTGTACGATGTAAAGGAAGTATTACAATCGCAAAACTTTCGGGTATCATATTTCAACGAAAATATTCATCTCCACCGCTCTCTTATCCAAAACGATGTTTTTGCGCGATATCTGTACGTACGGACACAACAAAGAACTCTTTTTTCCAAAATGTATTGTAAAATGGATTTCAAATGGATTCGAGGACTGCACGTACGTATGTATCTCGCATAACTCAAAAACGAGTAACCGTAGAACATTGAAATTTCGTACATAGGACTGCTAGTATAACATCTAGTTATGCACCTCCCGTTTTTGTTGCACTCGATTTAACCAAACGTATATATATAACAGAGTTAGGACTTTATATATAGTCTATATATTTGATACATATCTTTATATATCAAATGTCTATATATCTTTATATATTTGATATATAGTCTACTCTGTTACCCGGCTCGGTGAGCTCAGTTTTTTCCCTTATATGTTGGTAAATTTTGAACTTTTTGCTTTAAAAGTGATTACATGATGTTATAACATATTTCCAGTTAAGACTTTTATGCCTTTAGTCGATCTGCATGGAACAGTTGCAGAATTATTAACATTTTAAAAATTTAAGTGGTCACAAAGCCTAACGAGGTCACCATTTATTTACATTTGAAACTCTTAGTAGGGTAGTGAGTTAAGTCAGTTGTGCACTAGTTTCAGTGTCCTTTTGCCAATATTAGTCCCATTCACGGAAAATAAAGCTTTCATTATTTTCTAATAATCTTTATACACACCCTCTCAAATGAACTTAAAATTTAGTCGCTTCTAATACTTGTGCTCATAGTTATTAGAAAACATTATTAGAACAAATATTCGCAACAATTCATGATTATAGCATCCCTGATGATGCATTCATTATCTCTGAAACACCAAGGGTGCGTAAATTAATAACACTCTTCTCAAGAGAATTAAAAAAAAAATAGGTGAAAAAAATTTGAAAACTTTCAGATTTTATATTACGCCCAAAGAAACTTTTTTTTTTTTTTTTTTTTTTTTTTTTCCTTTTTCCTTCAAAACGTGGTACGGATATTTAAAGTCAATTGATGCAAAGTACCGTTAGACAATATAATGTCTTTGTGTTGCTGCTCTACCAATATAAGTCCAGTAAGAAATGTAAAGAAACCTCGCGCATAAAATATCCGTACTTCAGGATGCACGCGATGTTAATGTTAATGGAACACTTTGAAATCTTTGAGTTTGTTAATTAAAAATTAAGTGTTACAAAATATGAAATAAATAATAAAACAATTTCAAAATTCAGGCATCAGGTGCCCATGTTCGGGTGGAGGACTAATTTGATGTCTCTAGGTACCGTTGTTTTTTCACAATACGAGAAGCATACATACACTTGGGTAGATTCTTCATTATTTAATTTCTTTAAATATAATGCAAGGCTGTAAGATTTGATGCCAACAATTTGAAAAGTGATGCAGACTTTTATAATGAACCAACGCAAAATGCCAAAATGAAATTAATAGCCCTTCTGGGCCATTTGGGCTAAAAATTCATTAATTGACGTTAGTTTGGGTACAACTACCTAACAGATACTATTAGCCAAAGAAAGGTTAGAAGAAGGCATGGTTTGCTTGGCACTAAAAGGAATTTTTTAATTTACAATTTTTATAAGGAAATTTAATAATGCTATAATGTTGCAAATCGTGTTGATTCTAAAAAACTAGCTTTGTTCCTTAAGGACTGTATATTACTTCGTTGAGGATATGCATGTTAACATATAAATACCTATTCAGAAGTCAAAACAACAAAAATCAGCGTTATATTTACAAAATTTTCACAGGACTAGTTCGATGGCGCCACTTGCTTATTCTTGTCCAGGCTTTCTTATCTTATCTAATCATTATTTCCTGTCTTGTTCATTTGCGGTTTTGCAGCTGAAGATGGTGGTTCGGTAAAACCATCGAAACTAGTCCTGTGAAAATTTTGTAAATATAACGCTGATTTTTGTTGTTTTGACTTCTGAATTGGTATTTATTCGGCGTGTTATTGTGTCTTAATATAAATACCTGTTTGTTCTATAAATAATCAAATCATTGCATAAAATAAATAAAAGGACGAACAAAAACTATGAAATTAGTCGATTAATTCGTTTAAAAAATTGAATCTGACAGAAACTTTTTTCAGTTAAGGATTTCATCTATTTAACTTCGAATACTTTTGTTATAGTTCTAGATCTTATATTTTATTGATATTAGAAATATAGAGAAGAAAATCCTATAAACTTGGCAAACTTGACCTAAGATTTCAATACGTTATATCATAAGATAGAAAAAACAATTGAAAAATTTAATTTCTCATACAAATAAAATACCGAACCTCAAGATTTTAATCAAATTCTAATTTCAAAAGTTTCTAAAAATAAAAAGTTAAATTTTATTTCTTTTTCGAGTTTCACTTTTCATAAATTTTCAGCAGAGTAAGATTATATTACTAAGTATTGTATTCTTCTCTAACTGAAAATGTAATACATTTTAAAAATAAAATCTTTTCTGAATAACTTGTTTACTTTTCAAATGAAAAACTTAAATTTAAGTTAGGACGATATCTTAATTGCCAAGTTAAATTTGTAATCGAAACTCCCCCCTTTTTTTTTAATTTATCCAGTTAAGCAATAGCGGCATGCCTTTATAGGTTTTACTTACGTAACTGATTGTTTTATTTTGATTTATTTTAAACTGTTAATATTTGGAAGTACAAAATTCAGTTGTTTTAAAGCAGGGGAGAAATGATTTAGGAAATTATAAATTTCACATGACAAGATTAAGTTTACCCTTTAGAAATAATACCAAAATAAAATAAAATAATTTTATTTATATTAGAAAATTAACTCAGATTATTACGGTCAGTCTGCAAAGGTTTTAGAGCAAAAGAAATACTAAATGTTTATTTGAACCTTGCAAGAGAAAATAAGATATAATACTCAGCATTTTAATCCAATTCTAATCAAATATTTACTTAATATTTTGCATGTTCTGCTAGAATCCTCATAGAAAGCATGGCTTCTGAAACCAGTTGCGAGATTAAACGTCTTTTATAAATGCAATTCCAAACGTATTTGTTAAAAGGAAGGGTCACAGTGATTGCTAAACATGAGATAAAAGTTCAGTAAGCTCACAACTATTAATATCTTATTACTTTTATCTTATTTGTGTTTTATACTCACCCCAAGGATTATGTACGTGTTAAGCGACTTTTTATTCGCCTTTTCAACACCGCTGAATAAACATGCCTTTAAGAGACATTCAATGATTTTATCTGTTTAGTTTAAAATGTGAGTAACTATAGCGGGTATTTGTTGCGTCTCGATCGCGAAGACTGGTAGCATCCCATGCAGATCTTTATGCCCTGGAGATATTTTCGGTAAGATTTTTCTCGGGTGAGTGAGTATTCCAGTATCAGACTAAAGTCAGACTTCTGTCAATGATTTTATTAGGAGTAGGCTGTCAAGCGAGCTTCCATGAGATAGATGTCGCCATTGGATCTTTCTTTCGATGCAACGCTGATTTAAAAAAAAAAAAAAAATCCGATTTCCTGTAAAACTTATTGGAGTAGTTCTGCAGTTTCTTGTTTTGCTTTCTGTTATGTATTTGTGTTAATACTAGAGGACCAGAAGTTTAATACTAGAAGATCTCTGACTGGTCTTTTTCTTTTAGTGTGTGTAATCTATTGTTATTAACTTCATGTTGTCAAACTGTTCGATGTTTACATTGGAAAACTTCTGATATACTTCTGTTGTCGGCAGATGCTGTGTTAGTGAAAAAGCCTGCCCCAGTGATTGTTAGAGAACGCAAAAGTGTATCTAACAATGAAACATACAACAGTAGAGAACCCGAAGTGGATAAAACCACGAAAAGTACTTCAGGGATTGAAGATGGTAAGTGTTCATAGATATATTTTATAACGCTTCGAGTTATGTTTGGTATGTTATGTTATAGTTTTAGCGAAAATTTGATATAGTCTTTTATAATTAATGCAAGAGATGGATAGCAGATTTCATTAACTTCATAATTCAGGTCCTATTTGGCTTTTGATTTTGTCCTAAAAATTTGAACTAAATGCTATGTAATTTATAATTGTGATTGTAAACTTCCATATTCGCAAATTTCCAATATCAAATTGAGTGAAAATAAATAATTAGGAATAGAGTTTCACAACTTTTATTTCGGGGGGGGGGGGCCGGGGATACGGTAAAGTGTTCTTTTGTTTGGTTAATCAGCTAAATTGCATTTAACTATGTAAGGTCTGAAAACGTCGGAGGAGATTTTTTATAAAATATTAAAGTGTATAATAAAATACTTAGCTATTCGAACGAATGATACGTTACGAGGCTTTTCTTGACCTACATCTACGTTTATGTAACAAATAAGATCTACAATAGGCTAGTTCTGTTATATGGCTACCTAAACGTCCTACTGCTTATATGGGTACTTAAATGTCCTACTGTTATATGGATACTTAAGTGTCTTACTGTTGTACGGATACTTAAATTGGCAATTAATTTAGAAAATGTAATTAACTTAGAACGGACTTCTTAAACTAAGAAATTTATAATTAATCTTATGTCTGCTACTAAAGCAGAAAATTCAATTTCTTTAACTTATGTAAAGGTTTTCCATAAACTAACTTTGTTAACTCTTTGTGTGAAGGTGGATGTATAATGTATCTGAAATCGACACCCATAATATATAATTTTAAACCACCCCAATTTTCTTTTTCGTTACCGTTTAGGACATGCAATGTTCTCTTAAATGAAATGTAAAAAATTTCGATAAAATGTATAGTTAGTCAAAACTGCTACATAAGCTAGTATTTTAGGATATGTTATTTATTAAATTTTTTATCATCCTTTAACATGCCATAAATGTAATCCATCTGATGACGTTAAGGACTAACCCTCTCTATTAGAAATCCTTGTTAGGAGAAATGTCTATATTTCCTATAATGCATTTCAAAAATATTTAAGCTTATTTTTTGTAACAGAAATTGTAATTGCTTTAATTTTCGCTGAACTTTTTAATACAGCTATCAAATTTTCTTACTAATTGGCTTTGTTTTGAACTAAGCGGGGCCCACCAGCGGCCGAGCGGTAAAGTCGCTGAACACTGGTAGTTCGGTCCGAGGTTCGAATCCCGCGAACGGGCTGGCTGCATGGGCGTTTTCGTGGTTTTCCCCATGTGTAACGTGTATACGAGCCAGTTTCCCTTAGAAAGTCCTCCACGAAGGCATCCCTCCCCTTAGGCAGATAGCCCTCGTGTGCTTTGCCATAATTAAATACACCAACACCATTGAACTAAGCGGAATTTTTATTTTTTACGAAATCATTTTGCATATATAAACCACTAAAATTAGTGATAATTACTTTACAATTTAATTTCAGTACATTTTCTTCGATGCTTTGCATCCGTTAAATCATTTCTTAGAGTCTAACCTTACATTTTGGATTACCATTTTCTTCTAAAACTTGTTTACACATATAGGTATATACCGATAACCCGAAGGAAGTATTTCCTATGTTCTGCACATTTCGGAAAAAACTGACGTTACTACTGTTTTTCAGCAGCATTTTACACAGTGTTTTAGAATTTTTTAGATGCTTAGCAATTAATTTGCTGTAATTATCTGCCTTTCAATTAGTTAAGAAAATAATCACCATGTTTTTAGAAGACTCCTGTACATCAGTCTGAGCTTCGCTCTGTATATTGTTAGGTGGTGTGGTGGTGTATTTAATTATGGCAAAGCACACTAGGGCTATCTGCCTAAGAGGAGGGATGCCTTTCGTGGAGGACTTTCTAAGGGAAACTGGCTCGTATACACGTTACACATGGGGAAAACCACGAAAACACCCATGCAGCCAGCCCGTTCGCGGGATTCGAACCTCGGACCGAACTACCAGTGTTCAGCGACTTTACCGCTCGGCCGCTGGTGGGCCTGTATATTGTTAGCAGTAAATGCGACGACTCGTCAGTTCCATAAACTGGGAATAAAAAAGATGCTATTCTTAAATTGACGTTATCATTTTTGAGAACTGAAAAGAATAGCCTCTATATTTCCTATGCATTTGCTTCAAACCATACGCTCAAAAATGGCATTTTCCCCTGAGATTTTAATGCCTCTTTTTCAGGCCAGAATATTTAATATATTGTTTCTATTTGTCTTTACAATCACACACGCACATGGGGAAAAAATGCGTGTACCCATGTTGTAGTTCAAAGAAGTGAATCAGCACAAACGTGCCTTAAAAAGTAGGCAATTCACACTCGAAATGAACTGACTAGAAATACAAGTTCAAAACATTATTCCGAAATCATTTGTTAAAACTGGCTGAACGAAGCTTTTGCTAATTTTCTCAATGAAAACACAGAACAAAAATGAATTAATTCGGTGAAGGTGTTAAAATTGAGCTGTAATATATACTTATTCAGTTTGTGACTGTTTAGCAGCTAATTTTATCGCTTATTTAGGCGTGAATAGGTTTTAAAAATTATTTTTAATCCTCTGTTGTAAGCGCATTTTGTAATTTATACAGGATGATTAAAAAATATCTGGAAAAAATGTAGAGGTAGGTAGAGGGGACTAAAATATACAAGCTTTGTTAATTGAAAGTGTGTTCGCAAATGGCGCTTTAAGATTAGAGGGAGCTGCTGAAATCGATTGGTGAAAGCGTTCTGCTAGCGTAAACTATCATCTCTCGTACGGCTTTGAGTAGTATGTGTCCCTAAACAATGCGGACATCACTAAAATGCATTTTATATATGTGGCGGTAGAGCCCTTATTGCAAGAAAAATGAATCATTGGATTGTTTGTTTCTTTTGACTTTACCTGTCTTTCTTACTTATCACTTGTTCATACTCTCCATCCCTTACAGGACTCATTTTCGCCCGCACACTCCTTTATGAAATTTGCTCATTTTTATCCACTATACCTGCCTTAAAATTTTTCAGCTATTTTAGTGTCACCCCATATATAGTAATTACGATAAATAAATTAATTAATTAAATTTTTAAACCGTTATTACTTCTAAAATTAAATGTAGACTCCATGTAGAGCCATTAAGATTTTTTTAAGCAGAAAATGTGAAAATTGTGCAGTATCTTCAGCAAGATTCAAACTTAGCACCTCCTGATTATACGTCAGACGTGTTATCCAGTATAACACAAAGGCATACGGAAAGGAGAGAGAAAATAACTTATATGCGTCCCCTTTTAAGGGGTGATTGGGGATGAGGTTGCAGAGAAATTAGGTATTTTTTTGGAAGCAGGAAAAGTGAAAAATGAGCAACGCCTTCCCCGGGAATCGAACCACGGACCTTCTGGAATACGCGCCCAGCGTGCAGACCACTACACCACGAAGGCACGCTAAGAAGGCGGGAGAAAGACCTTATAAGGTGACTCAATCGCCAAATCCTAATGGTGAGGAATTATCATCCATCACCTCTGTTTTTTAGTTCGTTCTCGATTTGTAACGTCGTTATTTTTTTCTTTTTTCTTTTTTTCTCTTTTCTTTTTTTTTAGGGGGGGATGCAAAAAATGTGCATTGTTGTGCCGGGATTTGAACTCCGTAGTTCCCGACTACGCGTCGGATGTGATATCTAATTTCACCACAAAGGCACGCGGAAAGTCGTTTTTTAAAAACTTTCTTTTCTTTTAATCACGAAGTTAATATTGCAGTCCATCTTTTTGATAAATCATTAATGTTAAAGAAAGCAAAATCAACTTGATTTTCTGCTTCTTTTTGTTTCACAAAAGAATCTTACTAATTTTTATAGTGAAATATTCGCCTCTGAAGTCCATTACTTTTTCTTAATGGTTATATTACCTCGACTAGTCCGTTTAAAGTAATGGGGTCATTACTAGTACCACGTGTTTCGAAAATTATTATTTCAGAGTTCCTAGGTATGGCATTATTGTTTTTGTTTAACTATGAATTTTAAATTTCCAAAATTTTTGAATTTCTATAGATTTGCTTTCGATGCCCTAGCCAAATGTTTGAGCATAGAAACATTTTTTTTTAAAATTTTTTTTAAATTTTTTTTTTTTTTTTTTTTTTTTTTTTTTTTTTAGAGACACCGCTGTAAGTCACCACGTGAAGTCTGTGACAAATCTATCATTTAGCTTTCTTTGCAACTGTCTTTTTCTGTAGATTTTTTTAACTATATTGAATGCTCTTGATGCTATAAACTCTTGATGTCTTTAAGTTTTGACATAGTGAGAGACACAGAGAGTTACTGAGACAGCGGAACAGACAATAATTAGAGAAGGATTACAGTGGTATCGTTTATCTCTGTTGCTAGGCGCATTACTCTCAATCTAACTAAAATGAAATCTAACTTAACTAGCATAGGGTACTTCCGCTAGTTAAAAATAATAATAAAAAAAGATTTAAAATATTAAACTTTTTTTTAATGCTGAGTATGTCAAAAGCATTTTCTTATTGAGTGAATTCGAAAGATCCAACGTTTTACCGAATGCAACACTCTGAGAACTTCGATGATTCCGTATGGAAGATGAATTGAAGATTTATGTTCAGCGCAACGACGACACCTGCTTAAGACTAGAGAATATAGTCGTAGTAGTTTAACGTAATGTAACAATTAAAAAGTTCGAAAGTATTTCGCCAAGGACATTTCTAAAGTCCTATTAATACTGGTTCCTCTCAGCCTCCCATGGCTTCAGACGATGACTTTTAACTGATCGATTCTGATTCAAACTTCAGCATTCTGGTCGAACCCTAGCGATACCCCATGTGTTGCAGAGAGTTTCAAGAAATTGACTACCCTACAATTTCTAACTCCAAAGTTTAATTGCAATATACAATTTGATAACCTGTTCAACTTTAAAGGAGATTTTATTTAGCATTGGCTTACCGTACACATTC